TTTATTGTAGAGATGAGGTCTTGCTGCCCAGGCGGGTCTCGAACCCGCAGGCTCAGGCAATCCACTCACCTCAGCCTCCCAAAGGCGCGGGATTACAGGCTGAGCCACTGAGCCCGGCTGAGTTTCCTGTTTTAACAATGAGATTTAGCATTTTTGTCCAGCACTGTCCTCGAGAGAGAAAAACAGAATCCAGTGGGGAAATGAGCAGGGCAGACATGGGACAGGGCTACCAGGGATGCCCCACAAGGCCGTGGGCCTTTCCTGAGCTGACTCCACAAGTGACCTTTGGATGGCAGTTTGGAATGGCAAATATGGACAGTCCCTACTTAGCAATGGCTCCACTGTTGATTTTTCCATGTTACAATGGGTTTGTCAGGATATTAAACGTATTTCAAGTCATGCTATTTTCAACTTTTGGTGGTTTATGAGGATGTAACCCCATTGCGAGTAGAGGAACATCTGTAACTTGACCCAAGGATTAGGAAACCCTGGTTAGCAGACATCCTAGCCAGCCCCCTTTGTTTATAAATCAGTCATCCTTGCTTATAAATCTGCATTCTCAAGTCCGATAAACTCTGAGAACTATAACTAAATTCAATTTCTAAATTTGTAAAAGCTGATGACCAGCCTACACCCTTGGTGACTGATCAACAAAAAGAAGCATCACCTACACCCGCCTGATGCTGAGTCACCTGGGGTGTCTGAGAAACTAGATTCCCAGGCGCCTTTCTCAGAGGACACAATTCGGCTTTTACCCAGCATCTGATGTGACCATTCTAAGCAGATGCATCAGGGCAACTCTGACATGTATGTATGTGTCACCTGACATTTTAAGAATGAATCCTTGCCTCCTTCCCAGACCTACTGAATCTCACTGCTAGAGCAAGGATCTAGGGAACCATGCGATGAGAGGCACCCAGGTGACCCCCGACAGCATATGTTCCATGCCCCTCTTCCGTCTCCGTGTCTCTGGCTGGGAGGGCTGCTTTGGCGTCTCTGCTTAAGCTTATATGCACTCTCCTCCTGTGCCACAGGCCCTGTCCTCTTGCTATGTGCCTGTCTTTCCCAGCATTGCTTGCTCTCCCTGCACCAGCTGACCTGCAAGCCTGCCTGGAGGCCCCGCCACTCCCATTCTGGGTCGAGAGGCTTCCGGCGCCCCATGGACGAATGACTAGACTGGGAGGCAGGACTGGGTCATGCCTTGCAGAGCCTGGAAGGCTGCAGATACCCGGTGCCCTGGCAGTGTAATGACTTCTCAGCCAACGCACAACGCCAGGCCTCCTTCAGCTCTAACATCCCCCGGAGGAAAGAGGTTTTATTTATCTTCCACTCAGTTCTTTTTTCTGAGCTCATACAGACACCCCCGCCTCCACCATATGGGAAATAAAGACACTGCCGCAGTTCTAGTAGTTCTGGAGTGTGACATCACAGCAGCAGCAGTGAGGACCAGAAGCAGAAGCTGGGCCTATAGCCCTGGCAAATGTCTGTCAAACTGACGACTAGCAGCCTGACATTCTCTGGGTCAGAGAGTCCAAGAGTATTTCGGCCTGCTGACCAACCCCCGTGAAGGCACTTCCCTCCATGGCCTGTGGCACAGGTGAGGGACCTGTGTGCCACAAAGGGTGCGGCACGGCGGGGGTGGGACAAGGGTCAGGCCGGCAGCCCTGCGCTCTTCCCACCTTCACACTGGGCTTCGCACTAGTGCTGGATCTGCCCTCGACACGCTCTGTGACCTCGGGGGACAGACAAGATATGCCAGTGACTACGATAAAAGGAGTACACGGTTCCTGTGTCCTAAACCAACAAAGACCACCAAAAGGAAGAGCTTCTCTTATATTTACCATCTTGGTGTGAGATTACGGAACAGCTTGAGACCAAATAAAGGCCCCTGGAGGTCTCCAGCTCCAAATTCCAACTGTTTGAAAGGAAAAGGAGAAAGTGTTAACAGTGTTTTACGTCCCAGCAGCAACCCAGGTCAGGTGTGCACCTCTGGCAGGAACTCCCTCAATTCAATTCGTTGCTCTGGTCAGAGCTCTCAGGGAAGGGTGGGGGAGACTTACTGTCTCATCTTAACCTTTGCCCAGTGGACATGTCTGCTGCCACAGATCCAAAGGGGACCCAAGTTTCAACGGCGTGTTTCAAAAAGGGGCTTCGTCAAAGAAAAATCCACTTGCCTCCAAACCTCACCTCCCTGGCTCAGGTCAAAAGAGAGTCCAGCACCCGCCCTGCAGACAACCACCATCTGCAGAGCACCTGCCACGGCCAGATGCCCCACCCCGGCAGTGCCGACTCCTTCACAAAATTTTCACTCTGCTCCAAAGGTCTCTCAGGGGATTGGAGATGGTCCTGGGGGTCTGACACTAAAGCCCATCGCATTTCCACACTCACACAGCCTTGGATGCTGCAGCCGGTCCCGGCTGCCTCTTTTACTAGTCTGGGTGACTTTCAAGGCAACTCTTCAATGTTAATTGGATGCAGCTCAATTTGCTCAGCAGAATTGGCTGTTAAATGACCACTAATCAGTGAACCATTGACTGAAACAGAGGCACCTGCCTTCTGAATTGTGCAGGAAAAGAGGTGGCCCATAAGCTCTGGCTTAGGGGAGCAAAAATGCTGATTTTCTATCCTAATTTTTAGCTGTGAGAAAGATATAAGACATATATCTGGGGCCGTCAACTTACAAACGTGTGACACTTAGGTCACTCTGGAGGTCAGCTGTTAGGGTGTGAGTGCTCAGGAATAAGTGTGCATGGACAGCACAGCCCAGCCGGAGACATTCTTACCTCTCCCCAGCCCTTTGCGGAAGTGACTCGTCTGAGAGCAAAGTTAATGGAGCCCCCGCCATTCCCATTCTGGGTTGAGAGGCTTCCAGAAAGGATGGCTGTGTCTGTAGCTGTCAAGGGTGCCTGGGAAATGACATGCACGGGTAGTAAATGAATCAGAGCAACAGAAAGTGCTGGCAACAGCCCCCTAACAAACACACCATAGCACCGGTTCCCACAGTTTAGAAGCACGCAGGGATATGAGTTACCTCACCTGCTCAGCTTCTGCCTCACTTTGCCACTGGACTGTGTGTGGCCATGAAGACAATTGTTTTGCAAAAGCTTCAATGGACACATTTCACAACACCAAGGGGGAAACAGGACTACATGTCGGTTTGCACTGTACCAATGGCACCAGATTGCGCAGTGACCACCACATGCCTTCCCACTGTGGACTGTCCCAGCCTCTCCAGTCCTCGCTTGCCACCAGTGTTTCGGAAGGGACTGAAGACCTTCCCATGGCATATTAACTGAGGTAGCTCCAAGAGGGGGAGAGCTTCCCCTGTTGGGACTCCATGTTGTCAGCTGTGTGCCTGAGAATAAATGAATGAGTGAGGGGCAGAGACCTGCTAGAACCCTCAGAAGAATGGCCTGGGCGTGCCACATCCAAAGAGTGGGCAGAAAGGTAACATTTGAGTGATCCTGGGGCTCAGGATGCAGACCTTTCAGCACATGACAGTGTGTGCCTTAAAACTAAAAGTGCTAGGCAGAATTATCCATGGAGGTCTGCCTTCTCTCATGAAATCACCATGACCTTGGGCTTCTATGTCTCCTAGACCGTGAACACTTTCTCACCAGAGAGACCTGAGACCTTGGGAGCTAAGCGCCCAGCCCCACACCTGACATGCCAGCAAAGCAGTAACACACAAGCTGTGACTGGAGCGCGTTTTTTTGGTAAAGTAGCTAATTGCATCCTTTCATAAATAAAGATGAGACAGCCCTGAGCAGACTCCTGTTCCAGCTGCTCAGTGCTGCGCCTCATTAGCTCGAGCCGCACTACGCTCAGAAGTGTTTGTGTGCTTTACCTCGATGGACTGGGATATGTGCATTTTATTAATTTCAATCTGCGGAAAGCCACTTCCGGACACATCTTCATATTCCTCATCATAACGATCGAAAAGGTCAGTGGCATCTACTCCAACGCTGATCGTTCCCTGGGGCAAAAAACCAAGCAGTCAGCACACAGGGGTGGTATTTGTGGAATGAAAGACAATACTACATTAGACAGTCAGCTTGGTTTAACTGAGCAAGTCATCTGACCCCACGGTTCACTGGCTTTAGGTAGGACACTCCACCAGGATTCCCACAGAGCATGAATGTCACAGTTCAAACCAAACAGCTGCGAGCACCAGGACTCCCGGAATGAGAAAGCATCACTCAACAGGAGAGTCAGTCTGCATGGGCAGACACGGGACAGGGAGACTGGAAACACTCCACATGGAATGACACGCCAAAGACAAAATGTTAGAAAAAGAAAATCTGCACATTTGCTTTCCAGAGACCAAACAGTACCCATGAATGCAAGGAACAACCCAGAGCTAAGGGGGTTAAACGTTTTTCTTTACTCTTATACCACAAACCTACCTTAAAACTATTTAAAACGTAAAAATACCTTCAAAGATAAAGCACAAATTATGAACAAATGGGAGGCTTATAAATTAACCTATCTTCAAAAACTGAGAATTAAGAGAAACAGAATATCATATCCTCTTAAGTAATCCTAAGCTAAAATTCTAATAAAAATGATCCTTACTCAGAAAATCAATGTCTATTATTCTCTTTTACAGTCGTAACTTTTTTTTTTTTTTTTTTTTTTTTTTTTTTTTTTGAGTTGGAGTCTCACTCTGTCGCCCAGACTGGAGTGCAGTGGCCGCTCCCGGCCACCGCAGCCTCGCCCACTGGGCTCCGGCGATCCTTCCGCCTCAGCCTTCCAAGTAGCCGGAATTACAGGCATGCGCTACCACGCCCGGCTGATTTTTTGTTTTATTGTAGAGATGAGGTCTCGTTGCCCAGGCGGGTCTCGAACCCGCGGGCTCAGGCAATCCACTCACCTCAGCCTCCCAAAGGCGCGGGATTACAGGCTGAGCCACCGAGCCCGGCTTCAGTCGTAACTTTTTAAATGGACATATATCGCAATCCAATGTATAAAACCATGACCACACACAATTTTTAATTAAATTTTTTGCAGCCCATTTTAAAAAAACTTTATTGAGGTTTAACTTATGTATAATATGAACTGTACCCATCTGAGGTGCACAGTTCAGTGAGTTCTGACAGATGTATGTGCTCATGGAACCACCACCAATATCAAGGTACAGAACATTTTTCTCACCCCAAAAGTAGCTTGAGAGGGTGTGTTTTAATTTTTTAAAAAAATTATTTATTTATTTATTTATTTAGAGTTGGAGTCTTACTCTGTCGCCCAGACTGGAGTGCAGTGGCCGCTCCCGGCCACCGCAGCCTCGACCTGCTGGGCTCCGGCGATCCTTCCGCCTCAGCCTTCCGAGTAGCCGGAATTATAGGCATGCGCTACCACACCCGGCTGACTTTTGATTTATTGTAGAGATGAGGTCTCGCCAAGTTGCCCAGGCAAGTCTTGAATCCGCGGACTCTGGCAATCCACTCACCTCAGTCTCCCAAGGTTCGGGATTACAGGCTGAGCCACCGAGCCTGGTTCATCTTTCTTTTTTTTAGAAAGGATGTCTTACTATGTTGTCTAGGCTGGTCTCAAACTCCTGGGCTCAAGCAGTCCTCCTGTCTCAGTCTCCCAAAGTTTTGGGCTTACAGGCGTGAGCCACCATGCCTGGTCTAGGTGTTTTTTATTTTTATTTTTTATTTTTTTGAGTTGGAGTCTCACTCTGTCACCCAGACTGGAGTGCAGTGGCCACTCCCGGCCACCGCAGCCTCGATCTGCTGGGCTCCAGTGATCCTTCCGCCTCAGCCTTCCAAGTAGCTGGAACTACAGGCACGCGCTACCACGCCCGGTTATAGGTGTTTTAAGTTTAAGCGGTCAAGATGTGCTAAGCTTTGGCAGCATATATACTAAAACTGGAACAATACAGAGATTAACATGGCCCCTGTGCAAAGATGACATGCAAAATCATGAAGCACCCCGTGTTAAAAATAAATGGTCAAGAAAGGCATCCCTGAGAAGGGGCCGTGTGACCAGAGACACAAATGAGGGGTGGCCCTTGTGAGCCTCTAGTGGAGAAATGAGGAGGCCGCGGGGTCAGCAGAGAGGGTGACACAGATGAGTTTGGAGGGGGTGGCATGTGGGTGTCTCTGGGGTATCACAGGTGGCGTTTACCCAGGATAACACCAGTCTAGCCCTGTTGTTTCTATGGGTTTGGCAGGTTGACCATCACTTTGTACTTCAAGCATCTGCCACAGTCTCATCTCATGGTGTGTGAGATACATGGTAATGTCAGGAGAAGACCAGTGATGACTGTCACTCTTCACCCATTACTTTGCAGGTGAAATATAAGCAGCACCTCCCTCTTGAGGACGATTATATGCAGTACTCACTGACACTGACACTGATGGCTGGGTCCAGCTAGCTCCTAGTCTCAGTGGGTGGTGGGAGATGCATCGAATGCAGTCGCCCATTGGTGTCCCCAGCTGGTGGGGATGCTTGAGGTTGATGAACCACATCCACAGGAGACTCGAGGTACATGTGAAAATGTGCGCAAAATGAGGCAGCTGATTCTGCTGCAGAAGCTATGTAAGTGCATTCTGAGCACTCTTGCCGTCATGTTTGTGTCATCTGTTGAAGGATGTGTATCGGGAGTTGAACCCTTTTTCTGTGAAGCGCCAGAGTACATATTTTTGGTGCTGTGGGCTATATGGTCTTTGTCACAACTATTCAACTCTGCCGTTGTGGTGGGAAGGCGGTCAGATAATAGTTATGGAATGGGTCTGTGTTCCAATAAAACCCTGTGCATGAACCCTGAAATCGAGATTTCACATAATTTTCTTTTTTTTTTTGAGTTGGAGTCTCACTCTGTTGCCCAGACTGGAGTGCAGTGCT